TAGGGAAGGCATGTTTTGGGCCAAAGATCACATAATCTTACCATTCTTGTACCAAGCTTTCATAGATTTTTCTTGCATAGATGTTTCTTCTTTTGCTGTTTGCTCTTAGGACCAATTCCAGAGGCTTGGAATAGTTTTTAAAACAGTTTTCACCATTTCACTGGGGTGCAGGTCCGCCGAGCTCTTCGGGCTGTCATGCAGGAGTTGCTCTCTCTCATCTGGCTTTCTTCAAGATATTTTCTTTATCTTTGATTTCTGCAGTTTGAATATACCATGCCTAAGTGAAGTTTTATTTATTTTTATTCTTTCTTTCTTTCTTTATTTATTTATTTATTGTGGGGGGAGAGAGAGAGAGAGAGAGAGAGAGAGAGAGAGTTAGTTTATGCTGCTTGGTGGTGCTGTCTGAGCTTTCTGGATCTGTGGTTATGTGTCTGTTATTAATTTTGGAAAATCCTCAGCCATTATTACTTTAGTTCTTTCTTTTCTTTCTAGGTATTCCCATCATGCATATATTACTCTATTTGTAATTATTCAACATTTCTTGGATATTCTGTATCCCCATTTTTTATCTCTTTGCCTTTCAGGTTGAGCAATTTTTGTTGGCGTACTTCAAGCTTACGGATTCTTTCTGCAGCTGTGTCCAGTCTACTGATGCATGCTTCCCTCACTTCTGCTGGTTGTTTTCTTTACTTCTTAGCATTTCCTTTTGATTTTTAGAGTTTCCATCTCTCTGTTTACATTACCATCTGTTCTTGCATGTTCTCCACTTTTTCTGTTGGTGCTCCTAACATATTAATCATAATTATTTTAAATTTCCTATCTGATAATTCCAAATACTGTGCTTTAATCTGAGTCTTGTTCTGATTCTTGATTTATCTCTTCAGACTATGGGTTTTCTTGCCTTTTATTATGCCCTGTAATATTTTGTTGAAAGCTGAGTGATAGGAACTGAGGTAATGAGGCATTTCGTGTGAGGTTTTGTAGAGACCTGACTGGGAGCTGGATCAGTGTTAGTGTTTGCTGTAGTTGTGGGTGTCAGAGGCATCACTTTCTTCTAGTTTCCTTGTGCCTTTATTTCCTGTTTTGTTTTCCTTGGGTTTCCTTAAGAACTCCTTCTTAAATAGCCTGTATCTTGCAGCTCTCTCAATATTATACGGTTGTATGGTGGAAAGGATGGGGAGAGGGGATGTGTTCTGTAATTTAATGATAAAGTTCAGTGTTTTAGTGGGCCTGAGGCTCTGGGCTGTCACCTTCAGAAGTATGTCTTGGCCTTTTCTTTTTCTTTACTTACTGGAGGCAGGGATGCTGCGAGGCGACAGTTGGCCGCTTGCCCTCCCTGTCAGGTAAGGATCTGGTAAAGTAAGTTCTCCTGGAGGTGAACTTTATTATGGAGAAGACTCAGAATGTATTTAAACATAGTTACTTCTCCCCTCCCTCTGCCTGAAACAGGGGCAGGCCTTTATTGTGAGAACCTGGTAGAATTTCTGGAGGTAAAATCCATGAAAGTGTGGGTCTTCTCTGAGACTGGGCCCCACGAGTTTTTAACTATTAAGCTAGTCCACCCTCAAGTTCCACACTATGTCAAAAATGACCATGTAAGTACTTTCCCCTGCCAGTTATTGCCTCAGCTTCTGCTTCAGAATAGGTTATCTTGGCTGTGATTTTCTGTATTTGCCTGTCTCTCCAGATTTTGGGGTGACTGTTTTCCCTGTAACCTCAATTATCTGATGAATCTACGAAAAGTCTTTGGTTTTCACTTTGTTCAACTTTTTCCTTGTGAGAACAGGAGTGACAACTTCCAGGCTCTTTACATGTGAGATTTGAAACCAGAAGTCTGGTTCCATGTTATTTTAACCCCTTCCCATTAATTGCATGGTCTTTATTGTTGAGTTGTAAGAGTCCTTTACATATTCTAGATACTCGTCACTTACCAAATACTTTCTCTCATTCTATGGGTTGTCTTTCTACTTTCCTGATAGTGCTCCTTGGAAGCACAAAAATTTATAATTTTGATGAAGTCTAATTTATCTATATTTTCTTTTGTTGTTTGTGCTTTTGGTGTCTCATCTAAGAAATCAGTGCTAAATTCAAGGTCATGAAGATTTATGCCTATGTTTTCTTCTAAAAGTTTTATGGTTTTAGCTTTTATATATGAGTCTTCGACTCATTTTGAGTTAACTTCTGTATATGTTATGGGGTAAGAGTCCAACTTCATTCTTTTGCATGTGGATATCCAGTTCTCCCATGCACAGTTTATTGAAATTACTATATTTTTTCTCTATTGAATTATCTTGGCACCTTAATGAAAAACAGTTGACCATAGATATTTGGGTTTATTTCTGGATTCTTTCTATGACTGTACCACACAGTCTTGAATACTATAGCTTTTTAGTGAGTTTTGAAGTTGAGAAGTGTCTTCCAATTTTACTGTTCATTTTTAAGACTATTTGGTCATTTGGGTACCTTGCATTTCCATCCAACATTCCAAGTTTATCTTATCAATTTCTGCAAAGATGTCAGCTGGGATTTTGATAGGGAACATGTGGGGTCTGTATGTCAGTTTATCATTGAGGAGGACATTGTCTCCCTCTGCTGTATCCTCAGTCCCAGACTCACCCTGTGCAAGGTCTGCTCACCCATGAAGGGGCTTGGGGCAGGGAGCTAGGAGAACAAGGGAGGTAGGGGAGGATCTCGGCCTTGGTAGGAGGGATGGGTACGATGTGTCCCCACCCCCCACTCACCACTCATCTCACCGCTGGCCAGGCCTCCCAGACCTTGAGGTTTCCATCTATGAGGAGTATGTAGGACCCTCTGTGGCTGCCCTGTGACCCTGGGCATAGTGCTGTGGGGTGTTCTCTACTTGGGGTTATGGGAGACGGGTGGCAGGAGCACGGGCCTTATGTCTCCAGCCCTAAGGCCCTGTCCAGGCCTGTCAGGGTGCAGAGGGGCTGGGACCTGGCCTGATGTGACCTCTGACCTGCACTTCCCCACAGTGCGGAAGATGTCGTGGCCCGCGTGCCAGGCAGCCAGCTCACCCTGGGCTACATGGAGGAGCACGGCTTCACGGAGCCCATTCTCGTCCCCAAGAAAGACGGGCTGGGCCTGGCAGTCCCGGCCCCCACCTTCTATGTCAGCGATGTCGAGAACTACGTGGGTAAGTACCACCCCCCCCCCCCCCCCCCCAGCATTCATGTGGCTGTGGGCACCCGGGCCTGCTGGCCTGGAGCCCTGGTTGTGTCCCTGTGCCATCTGAGTGAGTGTGACTCAGGGTCCCTGTTCTGGGAGCTTTTAGAATTAGACCACATGTCCCACCTGAGTGGCATGTGACCCTGGCCCCTTCCCTGCTCAGTTACTCCAGCTGTAAAGTGGGGTCTGTCCTGGAGACTCCTTGATTCTACCAGCGGCCAGTTCTGCTACTGCTGGGTCCAAAGGGCAGTCATGCCAGGAGGGCTCGGTCGGGACGGGACCTTCTCCTGCAGCTGTGCTTTGTTCTCAGCTTCTCCTGGTGGCTGCCTCACTCATTTGCCCCAGGACGAACCTTCCCATGACCCAGGGCCACCTCCCTCCTGGGTCCCTCTGGGATGCTGATGCGTCTGCAATTCAGTTTCATGTCCCCCAGCAGTTCCCAGCACATAGACACCCTCAGGCAGAACCCCTCTGGGTCCAGGGAAGTGCCTGTGTGTGCGGAGGCATCATCCGTGAGGCAGCTGGCATGGAGAGGCCAGCACACACCTGGCATTGACTGCAGCACAGCCCTGGCTCTGAGGCTCTTGTGGTTGCCAGGGCTTGGCATGTTCACAGGGCTGCCTGCGTGGCCAGTGGGGAGGGAAGCAAAGATTCCCTGAAATGGCAAATACCCAGGCCGGCGCTGGCCACATGCTGGACAGGTGAGGGCGTAGGCACTGGGACTGCAGAGGAATTGCTCCATTGCCCAGAGCTTGACCCTCTGCATCTGCAAAGCCTGCAGTGGGGGTTGGCATGGAGACTAAATGAGGTCGCCTGTATTCAAACCAGAGACCACACCCCTCTCTGGAGCTGGGGTCCCCAGGGCTAGCCAGCTTGTGGCAGGAGGGAGGGGCTCACGCTTCCAGTCTGGCGATGGCCAGCTCTGGGCCTGGAAGGGCACCTGGTGGATGCCTCCCAAGCACACGTTGTTTTCTAGCCTCTTCCCACGTATGAGCTACACGCTCTGTCCTCCCGGCCCCAGGTTTGTGTCTGTCTAGGCCAGCCGTGGGCAAACTACGGCCCGTTTGAAATGAATAAAACTAAAAAAAAGAGACCATGCCCTTTTATGTAATGATGTTTACTTTGAATGTATATTAGTTCACACAGACACTCCATCCAGGCTTTTGTTCCGGCCCTCCGGTCCAGTTTAAGAACCCATTGTGGCCCTCGAGTCAAAACGTTTTCCCACCCCTGGTCTAGGCCCTGCCCCCTGCACCACCACTGTGCTGCATGGGGAGATGGTCTTGGGCTTTTACTGTAAGTGTCTTTCTTTCCCTTCTTGTTTTATTATGGAACTTTTTACCCACAAAAAAATGAGAGGAGTCAACAGTGAGTCCCCATGTGCCCAGTACTGACCACAAAAACCACCGACTTTCAACTGTTTTTCTGTCTCTTCTACTTCCCCCCACCCCCCAAGTATTTTGAAGCAAAACTGGTACATCAGCTATGTCACCCATGACAGCTTCAGCGCACAGTTCTAACAGACCGTATTTTAAAAAAAGTCCTCACATTCTATTCTGGCACTCTGGAACACAAATGACAACTCCTCCTTATCACTGCAGGCCCACGGCAGTGCTCTCCTGTTGCCTCAAGAGCAGCCTTTTATGTTTGGCTGTTTGAGAATCCAAACAAGACCACACACTGCCCTGGGTTTTTATGTCCCTTCAAGTCCATTTACTTTTAGAACAGCCCCTCCCCTCCCATCCTCCTTGTTGGAAGGATGGGGGTGTTGGTCCTGGAAAATGTCCCATGTGGGAATTGAGGAAAACCCTACCGTGGGGATTTGGCCGATGGCCTCCCTGTGGCGTCATGCAGCATGTTCCTCTGCCCCAGGGGTCCCTGCACCACGTGGCGAGAAGTTGCTCAGGCCTGCGTTCAGGTTGTGGGCAGCGCCTTCCCAGCAGGATGCTTCCTTCAGCCGAGGCCTGCGGTGCCCGGCCGCCCACTTCTAGGCAGTGAGCCAGGCAGTCCAGCCACATCTGTCCACAGACACGTCCGTCAGCCTCTTAGCGCAAGGTCTGAGCAGCTGTGGAGGACAGTCGGGATTGGCTAATCCTGTCCTTCCTCCCTCTGTTCATTGTGAGTCTCCTACAAAGGATTTCCCTCAATGGTGACTTGGTTGTGCCGAACTTTCTTTTCATCATCAATGATTTTTACCTGCACTTTTCCTCATCAACTGTAGGAAACGTGGGGTAAATGTTTTCCTTCTATTTATCAATTTTCAGAATAATTAGTTGGTACCCTAGAAACACAGAAGTTTTTTTGATATTTTTTAGTGTTTAAAGTATAAGCGTGGGCCATGCTTTATCTGGGATATATACTGAAAGCGTCTTTATTACTTATCTCAAGTTCAGATTTACCTATATTTTTAATTGCTGATCTGGCCCCACCTTAGCTGAGGGTGGTGACTGCCACCCTCAGCACCATGGTTCCTCCTAACAGCCTGGGGCAGTGGGCAGGGCAGGGCAGAAGGGCTGGGCAGTAGAGATTAGAACTTCCGCATGCAGCCCTCCCCTCAGCGGCCTCCCCCTCTGTCCTGCCCCGTCCTCACGGGTGGCCAGGCCATTTACCCTCCTCTACTGCCTCCCCAGGCCCAGAGCGGAGCGTGGACGTTACAGATGTCACCAAGCAGAAGGACTGCAAGATGAAACTGAAGGAGTTTGTGGACTATTATTACAGCACCAGCCGCAGGCGGGTCCTCAGCCTCACCAGCCTCGAGTTCTCAGACACCAGGTGAGCGGGGTGGGTGGGGCCTGGGGCGGGGCCCTCCTGCTCCAGGGCGGGACACCCGTGGCCCATCTCAGGGTGTGTAGAATTCCACACATAGCATTATTTGGTGTTTCTCTTCTAAAGTATGAAAGGTATTCATTGTGAACAATTCAAATAGGAAATAACGAATGAGATGCCAGCTCCTCCTCTCATCTGCCCACCCTGCTCCCCAGAGATAACCATTGATAACAGTGCTTCCCTCCAGAACGCATGTGCCCATCACAACACACTCCTGGCACACATACATGCACACACACACACACAC